TATAAATCTTAGGTTTGGGAGCAAGCTAGACACTTCTGAAGAGAACTAAACACAAAAATGCAGTATACTTCCAATGATGAATTTAGTGAAGTAGACAAGAGACATTTCATAATGACATTTCAAGTGTTGATAAGAGATGTTCAATTATTGTTCTAGAAAAATCACTAAAACTTTTTGAGTTGGGAAATGGTATTTGATTTGTTGTTCATTAAATGTGTTATCTTAAGAGCATACAGTAGCGAATAAATGATCAATTAAATAAAAATAGATCCAAATCTATCCCCATGCGCAAACTCAAGTCCAACTGGATCAAAGACCTCAACATAAAACCAACCATAATGAACCTCATAGAAGAGAAAGCATTGGCACTGGAGATCACTTCCTAACTGTAACATTAGTAGCACAGACACTAGGAGCAACAATTAATAAATGAGACCTCCTGAAACTGAGAAGCTTCTGTAAAGCAAAGGACTTGGTCAACAAGACAAAGCATCAGCCTAAAGAATGTAAAAAGATCTTTACCAACCCCACATCAGACAGAATGCTGATCTCCAAAATATACAAAGAAATCAAGAGATTGGTCATTAAAAGAACAAGTAATCCAATGAAAAATGGGTTATAAACCTAAACAGAGAACTCTCAAGAAATGAATCTAAAATGGCTGAAAGACACTTACTTAAGGAAATGCCCAACATCCTGCTATCTTGTAGTTTCACCAGTGGATATGAGGCATCTATTGTCCCTGCAATAGAGGAATTCAGAACTGGAGAGGTTTATAGCCAGTCTTCAATCTTTATGACCAAGAATAATGCATTTCCTTATCTCCAATGGTTTATTGATTCTACATATTAAGATGCCCAACCTAACTATAAGGCTCTCAGAATGTGAAGATGTAGTGTCTGCTGGCTCATGCTGATTTTTATGCAATATTTCATTTCTAAGTAGAATATAGGTCTGCAGAACAGTGGTTCTCAACCTTTCTGCTTTTCCCTTTTTAAATTAAGATTTATTATTTTCTCATTTTACATAGTATCCCCATTACCACTCCCTCTTCTCATTCTACCCCATGTTTTCCTCTATCCCCTCCCCCCTCAGAAAGGGTAAAGCTTTTGATGAAGAGTCAACAAAGTCTTATCCTTCCTTCACTTTGAGGCCAAGACCATGGTCCTTGCCTCTATATCTAGGCAGAACAAAGTGTCTCTGCAAAGAGTATGTGTTCCTAGACTCCACTTCAAGCACTAGGGATAAATCATGATCCTACTGCCAGTTGCCCTACATACTGCCCAAGCCTCACACCTGTGTCACACATTCATGGTTCTAGTTTGGTCCTATGCAGGTTTCCTCTGCTATCAGTCCAGAGTCAGGGAGCTCTCACTAGCTCAGATCAGCTGATAATCTTATGGGGACCTATGGAAAATTATGAATTATGGCCAAATCCTGAGTGCAATATTCTGTGAGGCTTGATCACCTTAGTTAGCTGTTTTGAGGTTGTTCTGGATGTAGGACTCAGAGGAAACTCCAGCAGAGTTCCTCTGAAATGTTGGATCATCTGGGCCATCTGCTTCTATGTAATATTGTTTGTGTGTGTGTGAGGGGTCTTCCTTGATCACACCTGATTTTTCTTAATCCAAAATGAATCCACAGCTTCTCATTTTCTGTGGAAACAAAAACAAAAACTTTTCTCCAAATTAACATAACCTTGACTTTAATTTTGAAGTAAAGGTATTTTCAAAATGCATATGTTGGATTAATCAAACAGCATTTATAATCCAATGTCTTTTAGCAGCTGTTGCTCCTTCCTTAGCATTCAATTGAAACACAACACAATAGCATACAGTATCCAGACTCTGTGTCTTTTCTATCTTTTCATGGCCTTATTTTAAACTCTATTTCTACTATTTTTTTTTTTTTGGATTTTTGAGACTAGGTTTCTCTGAGTATCTTTGGCTGTCTTGGCACTTACTCTGTAGACCAGGTTGTCCTTGAATTCACAGAAATTCACATTCTTCTGCCTCCCAAGTGTTTGTATTAAAGGTGTGTGCCACCACACCCAACTACTCTCTTTTTTGATATTTATTTTGAGGACTTTATCCTTTTTTCTTTTCTCTACTAAGCATATATATATTTAAAATACACTCTAAACCGTTTAGAGGTTTCTTTTGTCTGAATCTATCTTTACTGTATATCTCTCTTTTTCTGACCACATGAGTCTTTAATTTGCTATGTTATATGGCTAGGATTAAAGCCATGGCTTTGATGGCTGGATCCACTCCATTCCTTGAACTTTCTGAGAGTCTAGCCTCATGGCAGAGGGCCTGGCTGGAGGCATGATATTGCTGCAACTCTATGGCATTTCAAGGGCACTGCTACAATCAAGAAGCATGCTGTCAGCTGTTCATGAACACCATTTAAGTGTTTGCTGATAGGTTCTCTTAAAAGAACTGCAAGTTTTTTGCAGCTAAAGCTGAGTCAGGAAGCCTATATTAATTGAGACACGCTTTCCTCTAACAAATAGAACTCACCTGAGAAAGTGCGACTACCAAGAAGCTATGCTTAACTCTGTTCTTTTTCTTTCTAGAATTACTTCTCAAACTCTCTCAGGTTTTAAGTGGATTTAGTTGTCCAGGTTGGCACCATTTGTTTCTGGAAGTTTCTGTCCAGCTGTTCAGTCCCAAAGAAGCACACAGAGGTTTACATTAATCATAAACTGGTTGGCCTCTTATCTCAGGCTTCTTAATAACTCTTACATCTTAAATTAGACCATTATTCTTGTCTATGTTAGCCACATGGCTTGGTACCTATTTCACTGAGGCATTCTCATCTTGCTTCTGCAAATGGGTGATGACTACAGACTGTCTCTTCCCTTCCCAGACTTCTCCTGTTCTCATCTTCTCACCTCTACTTCCTACCTGGTTGTCCCACCTGTATTTCCTGCCTGGCTACTGGACAATCAGTGTTTTATTAAAATACAAGTCACAAATCTTTACAGGGTACAAGACTATTGTCCCGCAGTACCCTTTAATGCACAACTCCAGGTTGTGGTAACCCCAATCATAAATTTTTTTTTCATTGCTACTTCATAAGTGTAAATATTTTTGGAGATAGGCATCTAGTGAAGGGGTTGTAACCCATAGGTAGAGAACTGCTGTAATGGAGGAAGCTATTTTACCAAATTATTGAGATAAGCCACAGTAATATGTATTTCTGAAGTTAATTTTACCTAATTGTTCAAGACAAAGCCAATTTCAAAGGATAGTATTTTGACAAATAATTTCTTGTTTTCCACTCCTTATCCAATCCAGTGTGAGCATTTGTGTTGTTTCTAATTTTTCTAAAGTGATATGCAAATAAATCTTCAAGCATAATATTTAGTCACAAAACCACTAATGAAACATTTTTTCAGGAAAATTAATCATGAAGTCAGTACTACTCAATCATAATTTTGAAAAATGAGAGAGGATATTAAATTAGTAATTTTAGTTAGCTTGATCTACCACAGAAATGAACCCAGACCACTTAAATTGTTACAGAATTGAAGCCTGGGAGGGTTCAGTGTTTTCTTTTTAGACTTATGGCATTACTTTATAAACTTTAAAGCTATGTTTTATGTAATTTTATCCATTATAACTCTTACTACAATACATGATTCATTCCTTGATCATTTTTATTGAAATGTGACATTTCTGAATCTCATTATTTCAAGGTTATCTTACATATTGGGTGTTGTGGATAAAAAGATGTTAAGAGAGATACTGTCTCTTAAAAAATGAAGTTTTCTATCCAGAGAGAAGTTTAAATAATCAATATTTCTTTTAGAAGGAATTTCTTTTGATGCTGGAGTGTCATCAGAGTGCTCTACAACAATACTTTGGCATTTAATTTTGAAATAAACCAGATTCTCAGGAGACGCAGGATATATAGCTCATGGATAATGGAGTTTGGAATGTAGTCATTTTGAAAACTGTTACCTGGTGATGGGGTTTGTCACAGACACTGGATGCCTAAGCAATTGTTGCTTCCTTTATGGTGGCTCATGAGCTTTGATGCTTTGTTGTGATACAATAGTCTAAATCCTAGTATTTGTGTGTGTGTGTGTCTTAGCATCTCAATCTCATAGTCACTGGTTTTAAGAAAATGAGTTAATTATTGGTACATTTACAAAATACGTAATAAAATTGCTGTCTTGATACAGTTATTTAGTCGTTTCAGTCAAATGCTGTTTTTAATATGAAAAATACTGAGGAAATCAAGTTGCTGTTGTATGGTTTACATAGAAATTCACTGTATTGTTTCTGTTTCTAAAAGAAAACATCTTTTTCCGACAACCAATGAAATGGTTAGTGTCATCTGAAATAAAGCTATACATTTTAAATATAAACAGGTGAAATAGGTTCCTGTCCATTTTTCTTCTGATCTCTTAACGTTTATTCATTTATGAATATTTCCAAGGCCTTGAGGTGATGTTTGATGGCTCATAACATAGGATAAAATCAATAAATAATGAAGACAGTCTGTGTTAACCTCAGATAGAAGTACAAGAAGGAAAATAGAGCATATGTTCAGTCCATTTTGAAAATCATATTTACATAAATTTCCCATAAAATTTTCTGATGGAGAATAAATGACTCTATAGGGAAATATGAGCATTAGCAAAGCAATGAAGTTTTCATTAAGTATAAACAGATGCATTATATAGTTAAGTTTTGCTTATTAGATACTAAATTAACACCAGTTTATATTTAGCTGATGCCTCTTTTTAGTCCAAGAATTGCAAGTACTATGCAGCAAACATTTGCATTTCAAAAGTCATAAGCAATAAAAGAAGCATTTTTATATTTATTTAGTGTATTAATCAGATGATGCTGAGGAAGTCAGCTAGTGGCAATTTGTACATGTGTTTGAGTTTTGTAGAATTGTAAAGAAAACTAATAGTTAAATAAACAGATTGAAATAGTGTTAAAATATCCCTAATTGATTTATGTTTTTCTGAAACATTCCAGGTGTTGTCAAAGTGGATTATGGAGATGTGTCAGTCAGAAAAACACTAAGGGAAAATCTGAAGTGTAAGCCTTTTTCTTGGTACCTAGAAAACATCTATCCGGATTCCCAGATCCCAAGACGTTATTACTCACTTGGTGAGGTATGAATTATTTATTTTGCTTAAGTTATAAATATATTTTGCAAATGGAACACTTTATAAGCAGTTCAATATTTTTACATGTTATGGATAAAATGTTGTAAGGATTTTTAAATGGTCTATTTTAAATGACTTCTCTCTCTCTCTCTCTCTCTTTTTTTTTTCCCAAGGACCATGAAGGTCTTCAATGTGGTAAACTCTAAAGTAAGGGGAAGTTTAAGATTCAGCAAGCAGAATTTTCTTGTTTTATTACTAATAGACAGTGTTTTGGCCAATTAAACTTATTCCTAAGTGTTTTCTGTTAACTCTCAAGAGTTTTTGTTTCTGAGTTTTGTAACCATTAATATCATCTGGAATGAAATCAAAACTGAGGTTTAAAACACAGCAAACCACTAAAATTATGTAGCTACAAATTTTGTTACAACAATATATTTGAACAAAAATATATTTCCATAACAAGATCTAAGATTGAAAATTTTGTCATCAGTTTTATTTATTTATTTAATTTAGCTTCATGAATGCAGTTCTCCCCTTCCCCTCTCCTCCCATCCCCCCTACCTCCCTTCTACCTCACCCCCATCCACTATTCCTCTATTTCTGTTCACAAAGAAACAAGCCTCTAATGTGTACCAACAAAACATGTCATATCAAATTTGCTGAAATACTAAGTAACTCCCGTTGCATTAAGGCTGGGCAAAGCAACCCAATGTGAGGAATAGGTTTGCAAGAGCCTCCCAAAGCCAGCCTGAGTTCCCAATGCCAAAGTCCCACATGTAGACCAAACTACACAACTGTCACATGTATGTAGAGGGCCTAAGTTGGTCCCATGCAAGTTCCCAGGTTTTTGGTTCAATTTCTGTGAGTTCCTATGAGCCAGGTTAGTTATGTTTTTTTTTTGTAGGTTTTTATTTGTGTGTGTGTGTGTGTGTGTGTGTGTGTGTGTGTGTGTGATGTCTTTCACCCCTCTGACTTCTACAGTCCTTCCTCCCTCTCTTCAGCAGGATTCCCCAAAGTAGACCCATTGTTTGGTGATGGGTTTTTGCATGTGTTTCCATTAGTTAGTGGATAAGACTCTCTGATATTTTATAAGTTACCACTTTTGTGTGAATCATTAGAGATAGATGGAGTCCCTTGACTGTTCCAATAGTCAATCTATTTTAGTCAGACAGTAAATGTCAATAGTCTTTGAAAATATTGCAAATAAAAGAAAAAGTGAAATACATAAGCTGCATCTTAGTGTTATAAAATGGATTTGACACTCATAGTTGTGTACCATTCATTTATAAAATACTTAAATTGTTCGATGTAAATAATTGACTTCATAATTATACATATATACACATAATAATCCATTGCTCAAGACATGATTTATATCCTTTATGATATGTGCTCCCTATTTGTAGTTTCCTATTTACTACTGAAAAGTTTCTAATTAAAACTAATTCAATATTGATTATGATAAAAGCATTTGACCTCAATAATATAATTCATTTAGGAAATTAGATTTAATAAATGACTGTAGATTTGAACTATTATTTTGTAGTTCAGAATAGTAAAATGTTTAATAGTTATCAAGGTTCAATCTAGAACATTTGGTGCTCATATTTTATAGAAGGAAAACAATGAAAGAAGCCCTCCTCACATTAAGTAGAGCTGATTTTTTTTATATAACTAATGTGAAGTGACTTCCCAATACTCCATTGGCAAAATTTCTATCCTCCATCAGTTGTGCCCTCTTCTTTATGTAGAATTTCTGTTTTCATGTGTTTAATCTGAATTATGTGATGAAAAATTTTATGTGTAGTAATAAGTGGATACTTTTTTACTTGTGTGTTTTCAGTCACTACTTAGTTCTGTTGTGATGTGTTTTATGGGAAAATATTGTAGTTGTTTCTTATATAATACATGCAAGAAAAGATCTGAATAATCATGAAATACAATCTATTTTTTAAAAAGAACATTGTTCCTTATCTTGGTATAGATTATTATTCTCAATAATACATAATAATAAATCACTGCCTTCCTTTTAGTCATGGGATGGAGTCAATCAAAGAGGACTTTTGGGAAACTCACTGGGACCATCAATTACTCCTGAAAAATACCTGAACTTTATTTGGTTTAACAAAACTAGATGTTTAAAGCCAAATTAAAAATTCAATTGTAAGATTTGGGCATACCAAGAAAATCTATTGACTTCCCTTTAAAATAAAACTTATTGTAGGCAAATTCCTCTTAATAGTGTACTAAGTTTGAAGTATCTATCTTCTGAAATAAATCAAGTGCCTACACTAAATACAAAAATATTCTCCAAAAATTTCAGAGGTTGATTTGAGGGATCTTTGCAATGTACATAGAATAAGGTGGCATAGTAGATTGAGAAAAGTCCCAAGACCTCAAGTCAATCAACATAAGGCTCATATCACCTAAGGTTCATAGTATCATTTGAAATCAATATAAAGCTCTTATCTCTTAAGGCTCATAGTTTCTGCAGTAGGTGGTGCTTAATCCCTAAACCAGAGTGTCTCCTAGAGTGTCTGGGAAGAAGCAACAGTAAAGCTGATTTGTCACTGTGTTGATACTGCTCCAAGTAGTTTCCATTAATTGTACTATTTTTTAATGACAATAATTTCCTCGATTGGGTCTTTTGTTTCTAGCTTATGAAGAAACTGTCACATGGGACTGGTGCAAGTCAATTATTGAAGTCGGGATTCTAATACCTGTTAGTCTAGCACTATAGCCCATGCTTTTGTTATAAGTCATAAAAGAAAATAACTGCATTCTATTTGGTAAAATATTATTATTAAATAAAATCTGAGACCTGTCTCTTGTGCTAAGAATGCAAAGCTAAATTAAAAACAAACTAAACACCTTACTGTAGAGCCATTCTACTGAAATTGAGAGGACGTAAGGGTGTCAAGAGGAAATCAAACAGGCAAAGGAAAACAGTGGAAATCAAAAGCGCCCCACATGAGCTACGAAGCTTTCCGTGGTTCTATTCAAACACCCGATAAGTTTAAAACATCTTTGAGATATATTGTTTTGAGCTTCCTGAGATATTAATGTACTGTAGTTTTCCATTTTAAAACCAGGCTCCAAATAAATCCAACACAGCATTTGTATCCATGGAAACAGAAAGGCTAATTTAGCAAGCTCTCTTCGATTCAATTTTTGCTTAACCATGTATACATAATTTAAGATGGGCATCTTGATAATGAGTTAGTGTTAAACTGCTAATGGGCAAAAGTCATGGTTTGAGCCTTTTTTTCTGTCTTACTGCCTGTCATGTCTTTCATTCCACAAGACGGGACTTTCTCCCTAAAAGCATTCCAAAGTGTCTGAGGTAGAAGCTACTTGTTATCAAATTATATTTTAATCTAATCACCATGTACTTCTCCCTTAATTTCTAGTGACCTTTTAACCATTTAAGATTTTATGCAGTTCTTTGAAAAAGATCCATATATTTAATGTTGTTCTCTGAGGATAAGAGCAAATATTTCTCCATCAATCATTTTTTTTCTTTATAGCTTTCTTCATTCTGTTTGATGATTATCATGTATCAACACTATAATCAACATGAGTAAACTGATTGATGTCAGACATCTTTACTTTATGGTCTGATGTTTACATCTACTTGGATAATTGAAATGTTACTTTACTCTGCTCCCAAATTAAGTGCAAATGACAATCAGAAGTTAAAAGATGTGCAATTGCTTTGAACTCAGACCTTTAAGTAACTTAATGAAGCATGTGCCTTTTAGACTCAGTAAGCAGCCCTAATGGAATGAGGAGGCTGAGCCCTTTCCAGTATTAAATGCTTTCTTAAGAAGCCCTTTATCTGCTATGTTCAGCGAGACAGGTTTTATCCCGGGCTTATAGCGGACAAGGAGGACTACTGAGAACTCAAGAACAATGGCAATGGGTTTTTGATCCTACTGCACGTATTGGCTTTGTGGGAGCCTAGGCAGTTTGGTTGCTCACCTTATTAGACCTGGTTGGAGGTGGGTGGTTCTTGGACTTCCCACAGGGCAGGGAACCCTGATTGCTCTTTGGGCTGACGAGGGAGGGGGACTTGATTGGGGGAGGGGGAGGGAAATGGGAGGCGGTGGGAGGGAAGAGACAGAAATCTTTAATAAATGAATAAAAAAAAAGAAGCCCTTTATCTTATGTAGATGTAACCTAACAGGTTCAGGTGTTCTAAATATAAGGACTAATTCCTCTACAGATTTAAATAAATAACCTTCTAAAACAGTATGTTGGCCCAAAATTTTAAGCTCTAACAGGGTAGCATTCTATATATATTGTGAGATATTTGGAACAAAGGACTCTCCAAGGTTAAAGGGATGAAAAGTAGGATTTGTGGAGCCAAGTGACTTAACCCTGGGTACTAATAATTTCCTTCTGCATGCTGCCTGGACAGGTTTTGGCATTGGTCTCTGCACTTTGTATTGTGCCGTTGACATCAGCATTTTTCCTCTTTAACCACATCAGCTAGTTATGCCCTTATATGCATGCTATTATATTCTTAAATATTTTTGAAGAGTGAACTTAAATAGATAAAATTAGACATCTGCAAAGCTGTGAGGCTGCAAGGATTATAGATAAATTCAGTTAGTAACAAGAGTGGAAGCTAAAATGCTTAAAGCCTTAACATCCCTGGTAATCAGATTTATTTATAGATTCACAGTCTTTTTGACCCTTTAATAGGATAACCAGTAAATTAGCATCTAATTCTAGGTCAGACACACAAATGTGGGTGTTCTCTTTCCATGCTTTGATTTAAAAATTTTGGAGACCCAGAAGCCAATTTTCATCCAGAATAAATGAGTACATATCTAGGTGAAATATTGCATATTTCTGTTAATTTTGAGTAGAATTCACTCCAATTTAATTCTTAGGTATATATTGATACAAACAACTGCAATAAACCATAAACAGTTTGAGATTTCAACAAAGATTGGGCTTGTTAAATAAATTCTTATCCTTCTGAACCACTCAAATTAATA